ACATAGACACGGGATGCGGGTAATCGCGGTACGAATCGAGGAATTCACTTTAGACGGGTAATCCTCCGGTGGTCGTTGCGTTGGAACCCCCATCCCCTATACTACTTTTATTTCAAAAACTGGCGATAATGTTATCTTAGCAAGTCACGTGATATGTGACGTCATACACCCAAAATCGTTGGGGTGACCGACAGGGCACGTGACTACATCCCTGCCAAGTTTCGTAATCACAGGTTGTATTGCCGCGGAGAAAATGGGACAGGGGCCACCAGAGGTGTGGGGCCACCAGACGTGGGGCCACCAGACGTTGGTGGAACGTGCCAAGCTTACTTGCTGCGATCCCTGCACCCGTTCTGGAAAACAATGGAACATTGTTTTGTTTGTTTGTTTGTTTGTTTGTTTGTTTTTCGTTAATGTTCGTTGTATTATGCCCTGTTTCATGGGACAATTCCAAAAAAAGCTGCAGATTGCGCGAGAAAAGGTAGCCTGCGTCACATCCGGAATTTACAAATTGACATAGTATTTGATATACAGTTTCCAGGCCCTGTACCAAAGCCGGAACATGACCCCGTTAAGTGTCACTCACCGGGCAACAACATCCGACGGCCGAGTGAATCGCAGTCAATAATTTCGTTTTCTATTTGAGGACATAATGAGCAGAGATTCCACGGTAAGTTAGTATTGTAGTGAATGAAAGCATAATCTTAGTTTTATTAAGTAATACTTTTCAATAATGAGTAAACTTCATGGCACTTCGAAAGCGCGCCGACTGTAGTCAAACTGTTGACGACAGTAAAACTGATTAGTTACTAAGACCGTTTGAAAATCTTAATCAGTACTTGAACCAAAAAAATCTTTCTAAAAATACCAATAAAGCTCAAATAAAGGATTCATATGCGATATAGTCACGAGCCCTACTTATTACTGGAAGACAGCCCATGAGAAATATGATCAATATGAGCTAAATACTTGGTGGAGTAGAGAGGGAGTTTTTGTATTAATATTGACAGAATTTTATAGTGTTTGTTCTAATTGTTCTTTTAATTTATTTTTTGGTGTGAGGTATACAATATAAGGGTCGACACGCGTTAGATCACTGTATTAAACCAGATAGAACTGAGATATCTGGAGATATCAAAAATCCGATACACCATTTTGAAGTTTTAGTGGAGGTAGCGTTACGTGACGGCACTAACAACGGCTGCGGGGAAAGGGGGCGGGGACTATTTTGAAGTCTGCTATCATGTTCGTCGACTCTATCTTCAGTGGGTCACACTTAAGAAGTCAATTTCAGAGTTTTACTCTAAAAAATGCCGAAGCCAAAAGACAAATGTGGCTATACTAACAAATAATATCAAATCCCACAACAAACAAAGAAGTTTGATAATCAAAACGACATAGGAAAGTTTTAACCGTACTGATTTATTTCCGGCAGGCATGTTTCGGCGGCCTTACGCCATCATCAGTGTGACAAGATAGTCCTTACAAATGTAGTGTAATACATCGCTGCTATTACACCAAACAAAGAAGCATTGTATTATTGTTCTATGTAAACTTTGGCCTCAAGTTTAATACAGAATATAGAACAATTTTGAAAGACATGCACGCGCAAAAATGTGCAGTACTACAGGATCGAGAGCACTAGCGGGGGGAGGGCACTTGCCCAGCCCAAAAGCACATTGCCCCACCCCCTATGAACGAGGCCTCGCTACGCCCATGCATGATAGATTAAGTACAGCTCTTTTGCAACCACACAATTAAAGGAATTATGAAAGCGAAGTAAAGAAAACAGTATGAAATAGACTAACAACAGTCAACGAACGGCGCGGCCTGAGACCGAAAGTAACGCGGGCTCAGGGGAGTGACGAGGGTTTCTTTTGTCTCGTCTATCAGCTGTCTATCAGTAGAATTCATCAAGTGACATTTACTAATCATAGAAATAGATGTATTCCTATATATTACTGTACGATATCATCGGGATTTTCATAAAATCTTTGACTATTCCAATTTAGGATTTATGATAAGATTTTGACGTAATCTTTTGAAGCATGATAGCGCACACGTTCACGCTTTGGTTCGTAAATATTACGAGTTTCAACTCGCAGAATAGCGGTAGAACTACATATGGTAAAACACTGTTTACTTGTTAACCTTTAATCATATAGTACAAATGAAATATGCTAGGCGGTGATTCAGGTTTAAACGAAGGAGTGATGGTGAGTTAATAGCAAGTCGATCTTTGTCTAATTTTATTGCCTATTGTATATCAAGACAAGTGGCTGTGGCACTAAACGATATTGAAAGCCGTTTTGAACAAGAAACGATATTTTGCTTATATGAGAAACTTTTTCTTCGATTATCTTCAATTGACCCAATTCTCATCATGAATCTTCAAATAATTGTTATATTGGCGTGTACTGTAGATTCTCATATTTGAAGAATCCACAGGATGATTGATATAATTTGATGCATGAACGCAAACACAACACTCAAATATGAATTCTTCGTTTGCACATGACTTCATAGTCGCCATGTTAGATGAGTTTAACAAAAGAATTGTCAATGAATTCTTTTGTTATATCATCCAACGTTCCCACCGTGTCTTTTGTTATTTCACTCCCTTGGGAATGATTGAAAACCTGCAATAATTACACGGTGATTCATAAATGTATTACGTAAGCTTATTTAACAACGAACAGGAGCTGGAATATGTTTTTGTTATATAAAATTTTAAAAAATATTTTATCTCATATGAATGTTCTTATTAAACTTAGGTTGGCTTTACAAGGCTTAATTCGAAGCAAGAAGACATTCAAGTTCACCAGAAAGAAATTCTTGGTGTTTCTTATGAAGGAAATGCAAGATGGAAGAAGAAAACAATGTATGCTCGATGTGGAGTAGGAGTCCTAACTATCATATGCACCATATTAATGATAGCTCTTCTTCTCACTTTTGAACTTAATCTTGCATGTAACTCCAACAATGGAACAACCAGCTCCAATGGCAGACAATCTTTAGAAAGTGCTGCCAAGTTCCTTCTTTTTTCAGATTTACATTTGGATGATTTCTATGATGATTCAGTTGGCCCAGACCCCACAAACTGTAGAATGTTAGGAAACTACAGCAAAGCCAGCTATAAAGCACCCTATGGACGAGTAGACTGTGACTCACCATTAACATTGATTGACAGCATGTTAAAAGCAGCTAAGGGAATTAGCCAGGATTACAACTTTGCTTTAATGACAGGTAAATAACTGTAGCATCTTTTGACATTAAGGCAATTTGGGGTGCAACAACAACAACAACAACAATAACTTTATTGGGCCCAAGGAAAGTACATTAAGTACAAAAAAAAAATGTTATTTGGTATATCAGTTGATGAGAGCACAGACATTTAGAAATAGCTTTAGAAACTAATCGAGCTAAATGTCTGAAATGGTGCAGTAAGGATGCTGTATAATTTTTGATTCTGCAGTATTTTGGAGCCTGTCAGCCTCTCTTTGCTTGTGGTTTGACTTGAGTTTTAAACATTATAAGACCTCATCTATGATCAATAAAAGTACAGTCAATGAAAATCTATGAGTGATTTGTTAAATGTATTGCCTTTTGTTTCCTCTTCATCATCAATTCTACATATGGGTGTTGAAGTGTTTAAAAGACAGATGTACCGCTGTACTCTTCAATTGTACATACCAGATAAAACAAACTACAAAAGTCAATTACTATCAAAAATCGAGTTAGATCATGTATCCACAAGCTAGAAGCATGAGCGTGGCAGAGTTTAGAGAAGCCAAATATTTAGTTTGGGCTTCCTGCACTGATTCTAGTTGCTTTGACCTCTGGATCTGCAACAGCATATTTTACAGAATTGTTTTTTTATAAACAAAGACATTTAGACATTTGGGAGGCCATGCACAGGGTCATAGTTTTTTAGTGGAAGATGAAATGGTGTTAGGATAATTTATTTACTCTAGGATATAAATTTCTGCTTCTTAATTAAGTGGCTATAAATTATTTTAAAGGGGATTTTTCTGCTCATAAGATGGATCGTCCATACTTCACAAATTCTACGGTGCCACATCATGTGCTGCAAAACATTGCTTTAGCTGTAAACAGTATTAGAAAGGAATTTCCTTCTACACCTGTATTCCCTATACTTGGAAACAATGATCTACCTGACCATTATGTCCTTCCATTGGATGAAACATGGTACAATGAAACCCTTGTCCTTTTTGCACCTCTTATCCTGTGCAGTGGTTGTCCTGCAGAAGTGCCAAAACCAACATCTATGGATATCCTGGAGAAGACTTACTTGGATGGTGGTTATTACAGTGTCAACTTGACAACAAAACGTTAGTAGTTCACAACATGCTAATAAGACATTCCAAGTTGCTTTGCGTAAATCAATGATTCATCTTGTTTAGGACTGTAATTGGCAGCTTATACTTACCATTACCATGTTAGGTGCAACAGTTTTGAGGAAAAATTGTACCATATAAATTAGCATTAAGAATGACTGTTTAATACTTATTTTCAGATGGGCCAATTGTTCTCATTGTCTTAAATACTATGTACTGGAATGTTTATGCAAGCACAGGCAACCCAGTCATTCAAGCTGTAGCTAGACGACAAATGGCATGGTTTCATAGACAACTAAAACAGGCAAAGATCAATGACCAAAAAGTTATCATAGCTAGTCATATTGCTCCAGGGTGTGTATCAATATTAAACCTCTCAATGAAATATAGCAAAAACATTAAAAGTAGATATATTTTATTCTTTTTTTAGGATTGATCCTTTTAATGGTGCAAGTTTTTGGTTAAGTAACTACACAGATATGTATATCAAAATAGTTACTGGGGATTATAGAAATGTTGTTGCAGGTATTTGCACTAACATTTTTGTCATTTTTTATATATAAATTCTTTTGATCTCCCATCAATTATTATTTGTTGCAGGTCAGTTTTTTGCTCATATTCACAAGGATGATTTTCACCTACAAACACAACAGGTCCATATGTTCAGCCAGCCACCTGCTAATACATCATTTGCAATCTTTTCGCCTTCTGTATCTCCTGTCTATTCCAATAACCCTTCTTTTAGGGTGGTGTATATTGACGAAGAAGAAAGAGCTTTGCTGGATTATGATCAGTATTATTTGAATCTAGTCATGGCAACAGGTACTTAATGTATTATTTTACTCCATGCTTTCTGTCTTATCATTAATGCATACATTTGATTAATTCCCAGAATTCAATGCAACCAACTGGCAGTTTAGTTATCGATTTAGCGAGCATTATCCGTCATCTATTCCCTATATCAATGCTGATCGTATATATGAGCTAAACCAAGGTCTGTTAAACACGACAAGTGACAAAATTTGGCTTAACTACATCTTCTCACGTACAGTAAATTACCAACCAGGAACTTATTCACGATTCCAACTTTACTGTGCAATGAGATATGTGTTTAATGAAGGGTACCAGAAGTGCATCTCTAAGTACAATGTTCCAGGAGGATAATACAAATTAGTGTAGCATAACCCGTGCAAAAAAATGTTCTTGGAAGTTATTATATATATTATTTTTTAATATATATTTTTAATGTTTTCCTTACAAAAACTGTCAATGAGTTATAAAGTAGATGGTGGATTAAGAACACAAGAAAACGTTTTGTTGTTAGGAAAAGCACGAAAATAACTGAAAGTGCACAGGAGTTCTGTGTACTCACATACTAGCAAGCACTAACCAGGGGGGTGCTCTTGCCCGTTAAGGGTAGGGATGTGCCGCTGAGCCCTCCGAACCCTGCTCCTGTTCCAGAGTACAATTGCTGAAATTCATACCCTGTTCCGGAGCAAGATCGCTAAAAATTATACCCAGTTCCTGTATTGTGAAAATAGATACCCAGTTCCAGAGAGTAGAGAGCGTTCTGTCCCAGAGCGAGCGCGATTTTACATACCCTGTTAATCCAGAGTAGAATCGCTGAAAACCATACCCTGTTTGGCGGCACATACTACTCTTCCCAGTAGACCGTTACACCCCACGTTTTTTCAACTCATTTAGAGGAGCTTGTAAACTCGCCCACGGCTGAGAAAAATTGATCGCGTGATCGCATTTTGCGTACCACGTGATGAGCTTTTGGATGTACCACGTGATAAAAATTTGTTGGCGTAAACAAATTTTGATCACATGGTACATCAAAAAGCTCATCACGTGGTACGCAAAATGCAATTACACGATCAATTTGTCTCAGCCGTGGGCGGATTTGAAAGCTCCTCATGATGGGGTTGAAGAAACGTGGGGTGTAATGGTCTACTGGGAAGAGTAGTACCAGTATAGCGAATATAGGGAGTACCCCCCATCCCCCCCCCCAGAAGCACTCCCAACCATTTACCCTGCTTGCAGACCAATTTTAACTGAGTCTTAAAGGCTGTTAAACTCGGTGTGCATGTAGGCCACCAACAATTCAGAATGTGAGAATTAAAGACATTTATTTGATAGTATAAAAAAAATTCTCAAACATGTGGATTGATTCGTAACAAATGCATGTAATTTTAACTATTAAATATTGACTGGCAGTAATGTTTGAGGTTTTGCTGTAGTGCGCACTAGCATTTAATGTCAATGCAGCTTTCTTTCAGGGACCGGATAGAGTTAGGGTTAGCATGCGTAAATTCTTACCAATTACAATACATGGTTGTTTTAATGAAAGCAGGAACCTTGATTATTATTTGGTTATTATGACTATAGCCCCACTTTTCTATCCACTACATTTTCATGTACCTTATTTGCCCCACTTTTACCCTTTTCCATACAAGTCTATTATATTATACAATCTGATCATCACGACTAAAATAAAATTTGGAAAAAGGTAAATGAGGTGGATTAGTCTTTTCTTGTTTGATTGATGACGGGTATTTACGACAAAAGTTCCGATTCAATTAATTGATGACACCTTCAAAGTAAAAATGAAGCCCTCTGCATGCACAACACTACCCTGCGAGCAGAGTTAAAAGGAGACTCTGCTCGCAGGGTAGCACGACACTTTCAACTATCATATCTTTGGAGGCAGTGTGCTGGATCAGTGATGTCGCATACTTTTGTGTTTATTTATCAATTTCTGTTGTCTAATTGATTTATATTATAGCTAGCTATATTCAAGAAAAGATGAACCATGCAGCCCGTGGGGAGATAGTTCATAGGTTTTCAGAGCGCGCGTTATATAACTCATGTCGCTCGTTTTTTTAATTTAGCCGTTTCTTCAAACGGTGTTGGATTACCTGTGGTATTTCAATAGCTAAGTGACCCAGGCTCTAACGGCCATTAATTCAACACGTTTCCAAATATGGCGGATGATTTAGACGATCAAGACATCTTCGCAGTTTTTGAGCAGGAAGGCCAACCAGAGAAACTAAAAAAGAATGCTTTAGGAAGAGAGAAAAGCCTAACAGCGTCTTCTTCCGAAGGGAAACCACAACCTGGCGATAAACGAGAGGTAAAGGAAGTTCTAACCGATGCAATACTGTTTGATGAAGAAGACATAGCCAGGCCAAGCACGAGTAACTCCAATAAGAAAATAAAACTAGAAGACACAGACAGGTAGTTTTATTATTCAGAATTCTTGCATTTCATTTTGTTAAACTTTTTTATTTTATCTCGTTACAGACTTCATAGTTTGTAGCTTTGAGGGGGGGGGGGGGGGGGGGGGGGGGGGGGGGGGGGGTTGGATAGTCGGATGAGTCCCTTGTAACTTAGTAGTTGATTTTTTTAAAGCTTACTTGAAGCTGTTCCTCAAGTGGATGTGACAACTGTAGAAACAGTTGAGGCTTGTACTCATGAGGTATGTGATGTACGTATGTATGTATACATGTTTGTATGTATGTACTGCAATGCAGTTGAGCACACGTGTACTTACACACACATACAATTAATATCTTTTGTGTTGTTTTTTACAGGTTGCATATCCTCGTGGATTTGAATACACTCCACTAGTGAAAAAGGACTCCAAGCCAGCAAAGGTTTGAATTGTTTCTTTATATGCTGTATTCTGTTAAATATGATGCACTCTGCCACTTGCAAATCCTAATATTTCAAATTTCACACTTTTATGTTAGTATTATGTTTGTAAATTCAAGAGTTACACTGAACAAAATATCTATTGGAGAGAGATAATGATACCACCATTAGGACAATTACACTTGCACATTCAAGAAATCAAGTGCTAGACATGGCTTTGTGCATTTGCATTAATGAAAATTGACTGAATTACTTTTGGGCCTTCTGCATGTACAGCAAAACAATTGTATTTTTTGTTATCTTCATTCTTTTGTGTAACTTGAGGTCTAATGTTGTTTCTATTGAATTACGTAAACGGTGTCTGGCATCCATACGTGCACAGATTCACATATTTTAACCGTGTCATTCACTACATATTCTCATATAGGAATATCCTTTTATTCTGGATCCATTTCAAAAAGAAGCACTAAAATGTTTAGAAAACAACCAGTCAGTTTTAGTGTCAGCACACACTTCTGCTGGAAAGACTGTTGTTGCAGAGTAAGTACACTGTCATACTTTATATCCAGCCTGTATTCTTTATTTACAATCAATGATGACAGGAAGTGCTTTTAATGAAGGATGGTGTATTTTGTTAATCAGTAAATATTTTGTAGGTATGCCATTGCTATGTCACTGAAGAACAAACAGAGAGTCATATACACTACCCCTATAAAGGTATTAATTTTAAAGTATCAGATATTTAGTTTGCTCAAAATATAAATTTCCAATTTTTGTCACATCATGATAGGCCCTGAGCAACCAAAAATACCGTGAATTGTATGAAGAGTTCCAGGATGTAGGGTTAATGACTGGAGATGTTACTATAAACCCATCTGCAAGTGCTCTTGTTATGACAACTGAGGTACTTCATGCTCATTTTCATTTTATTCATGTTAAAAATAATAATTTAATGAAATTGTAATTCTGTTTAGAATTCTAATTTGAAGTGTTTGTTTTTCACTTAGATTTTGAGAAGCATGTTGTATAGAGGCTCTGAGGTATTATATGTTCATGTGAAGTTTATATAGACTCCTGTCTGATAAGGAAGTGATATTGATATACTACCTGATTGAATCTTTAGGTAATGAGGGAGGTTGCTTGGGTTGTCTTTGATGAAATTCATTACATGAGAGACAAAGGTGAGTATTGTATTTTTGTTGACATACTTTTTGCTGCAGTATCTTGACATTTTTTTCTTGTCTTCAGAGCGTGGAGTTGTGTGGGAAGAAACAATCATTCTACTTCCAGACAATGTTCACTATGTTTTCCTATCAGCTACTATTCCTAATGCTCGGCAGTTTGCTGAATGGATTACTCATCTTCATAAACAACCTTGTCACGTGGTTTATACAGACTTTCGTCCTACTCCATTGCAACATTATGTCTATCCAGCAGGAGGAGATGGATTGTTTTTGGTTGTTGATGAAAAGGTAATAAATCAGAAAAAGTGACTTGTCTTTTCTAATTGTATAATCAGGACTAAAAATAGCTGCTGTTCAGTTGGCAGTGGTGATGTTAGTTGCTGCAAGCCCCCAGACCAACAGTAACACTATTCTTGTAGTTGGGAACCCTTTGTGCTAGATGCCAGATTATTATTATTATTATTGATCTTGTGTTTGTCAATTTCTCACAGTGTTTTTCAGAACCTCCAGTGCATATGTTCAGCAGGATTTCCCTATTGCTTACAAAATTATTGTTCAATGAATATGTAAATCTTCTTTTTCTTTTCAAGCAAGCAAGAAAAGTCTTCTTTTTCACAATCTAATCACATCAACTTAAATTGAACTATTTAGTGAAATTTTATGAGTTTTTGAAAACAACCTTCAAACAACAAACTAGAATGTTTTTTTCCTTTAGTAAACAATGTTCTGTTCCTCTATGCCATTTTAGTGAACTGATATTGTTATGTATTCAGGGATGGTTTCTAGGTATTTATCAAGTTATTTCTATTTTAGGGAGATTTTCGTGAAGAGAACTTTAACAAAGCAATTGCCGTTATTAGAGATGGTAGTAATGATCCAGGATCAATGAAAGGGAGACGAGGAGGAACAAAAGGTAAAATCACATTGGCTTCCTAGGCAGCCACTCAGTATTCCTTGCTCATGGTGCCACGTTATTTCTACTTCAGGTCCATCAAATACCTTTAAGATTGTCAAGATGATCATGGAAAGAAACTTTCAACCTGTCATTATCTTTAGTTTTAGCAAAAAAGAATGTGAAGCTTATGCACTACAAATGTCTAAGCTAGACTTTAATACAAGTAAGTGTGCAATATATTTGACAGTCTGTCTATCTATCTAAATGAACTTTTTTATGATCAGAAGAGATAACTAGCTAAAAACTAGTGTGAGCTGCGTCAGCATTTCTAATGAAACAGTAATGATAAAAGGGTAAATTTTACACCGTGACAAGATGAAAAAAACAGATTGACATTTCGGATACTAGTCCTTTGTCGAACGACTCCAACGAAGGACTAGCGTATGATACTTTTAAAACTGTTGACATTACCACCGTTTGCATTGCTACGCGGCCACGCCAGACAAAAATCGAGACGTGCACTTTGCAATAGACTGCCATCAATCAAACAAGTTGACGTCATTTACATGCGTTTGGATCAGCCCGGATAGGCCCGGTGAGTGTGGCTCATAGTACTTATAAACAATCAACCGAAGTTTTGGTGCTTGAATCACACACGCGTGTAAATGGCGTCAACATGTTTGATTAATGGCAGTCTATTGCAAAGTGCACGCCGCAATTTTTGTCTGGGGTGGCCGCATAGCAATGCAAACGCCGGTAACAGCATTTCTGGCATTAGATGGCAAAGTATTCCAAAAGTGACTAGCTATGGATACAAAAGAATGAAGGGGCCATTTACCATGAAAAGAATTTTACTCAAGCTTAGCACCTGAGCCTGCCATGAACCACAATAGCAAATTTGATCACATGACCTCTTAGTGCAAGTCGCCTTTTTAAAGAATAAAAATGTGTATTTCACTGGTTCTCTTGGCAGAATCATGGGAAATGCTAATCAAAATATCATCTTGAATCCTCAATTCTGATTGGTTGGCCTTGAGTTTGTTCTGAATGTCAACTCAGCGGGAGGGCTTTAATCAAACATGCAATAATGAATGCTTACCTTTGTAACCTTAAGGTCAGGAGAAAGCTTTGGTTGATGAGGTCTTTAATAATGCCATTGATTGCTTGTCGGATGAGGACAAAAAACTGCCACAAGTTGAACATGTTCTTCCATTATTAAAGCGAGGCATTGGCATCCATCATTCTGGACTTTTACCAATCTTAAAGGAAACAATTGAAATCCTTTTCTCTGAGGGACTCATCAAGGTCAGTGTTCTGTCTTCAAATTCTAAAAGTCCTTATTGATATGAATAGTAATGCATGATTGTCTGTTTTCATTAATATAAACAGGCGCTTTTTGCTACTGAGACATTTGCTCTTGGCCTTAATATGCCCGCAAGAACAGTTGTCTTTTCAAGCTCAAGAAAGTTTGATGGAAAAGATTTTAGATTTGTAAGTAAAAGATACTGTCATTAAACTGGCAGTTGCTAGATGCTAATAATCTTGTGACACTTTGGTAGATAACATCAGGAGAGTATATTCAGATGAGTGGACGTGCAGGGCGCAGAGGGCTTGACGAAAGAGGTATCGTTATTCTTATCATTGATGAAAAAATGGGTCCTGATGTTGGAAAAGGACTGTTGAAGGTAAACCATTCTGTGAGCACTGTTTTGAAACTCTTACCCTTTTACATGATTGTTTTAATGAAAGCAAGCACCTGATTATTGTGTGTTTTCCACTCTCAGTTAATGGAAAAAATCCAGTTGCAAACAATGCATGATGCAATAGACCAACCATTTTAATATCCTGTTACATTTTCCATACTCTATAGATGTTTGTATGGTATATATTGATTATTGTGTAGTTCCAGAAATTATACATACCCCCTCCATGGCAGATAAATTTGTTTTGAGACCCTTACCCCCCCCCCCCCCTTACCCCCAGAAATTCCAGTTTTCTTGCATACAAACTCTATAATTTTGTTTTTTCTCTGGCCCCTCGACCCCTCAGGATTTCCTCTTGGGGGGGGGGGGGGG